GACTCTTGTCTGCCTCCGTCATTTCTCTCTGCCCCATCTCCACCCCGCTGCTCTTTCAGGTTTGAGGCACTGCTGGACAGTGCTCTGCGTCACCGGCTCGCGACAGAGATTGATTGCAGAGCTCAAAGGACAGTGGAATGTGAGAGGCACTAGATATGGGGTCATCAAAACAGATCTTTGAGGGCCCAGGGATTTAGCTCAGTGGTTTGGGGGCCTGCCTTGCAAGCTCAAGGACCCAAGTTCAATCCCAGTACCAAAAAAAAAAAAAAAAAAAAAAAAAAAACACAGATCTTTGCAAAGGTGATTCTTCTGCTGAGGGAAATGGGTTAGTTGAGGGTCGGAGGCCACACAGGAAGATGAAGAGTTAGATCAGTTGAGATCTGACCTAAACTGAGGCTTGAAAACAAGCCTAATTTATCACAAAAATGTACTAATCCTATGCTCCATATGATACCTGAAAAACAATAGTTAATTTTACAGAAATTAGTTAACCACTGATGCTTCTTTTTAACAACTGTAATATATCCAATGACACTTACCTTTCCGGAGACTCCCACTTTTCTCCTCTGAGAAGGGCTGTCTCGAATAACAAGAACTAAAACTATGTGATAAATTTTATTTTAAGCACATTTTAATTCCCAAGGACCAGAGGTTGGTAAATGGAAGTTGAAGAGCTGCTAAGCTCTGTTTCTTTGCCTGTGATCCACTAAATTCATTAGCAGTGAGAGATCAGAGCAGAATGGCTTCTGAACTCTATAACATGGCCAACCTAGAAACAAACTTGGACTCGGGGAAATTCTGAGTGTGACCAGGGAGGTGCATGGGCTAGAACTTTCGTCTCCCTCTGTTTTTGACATTTGTTTTTTGTTTTCTGTCTCCACTCTAGCACTCTGGCGCTTTCAGAATGAGGATCTATGAGAGAGATGACTTTAGAGGACAGATGTCAGAGATCACAGATGATTGTCCTTCCCTTCAGGACCGCTTCCACCTCAATGAGATCCACTCCCTGAATGTGCTGGAGGGCTGCTGGGTCCTCTATGAGATGCCCAGCTACAGGGGGAAACAGTACCTGCTGAGGCCAGGAGAGTATAGGCGATATCTTGACTGGGGGGCTGCGAATGCCAAAGTTGGTTCTTTCAGAAGAGTTATGGACTTTTACTGAAATATTTCCATTCTCTACTTTTCTCCTTTAAAATCCAATAAAATATGTAGCTTGTGATTCTGGCACCAATAAGAGTCCTGTGTTTCTTTCAATCTATTAAGTATTCATGAGCAATAATAGCCCTAGGACAAACATGACATGTTTTCAAGATGGACAGCAACCTCTTACAATTGGAATAATGTATAGAATGTTATTTCCATCACTCTTCTAAAGACCAAACAGGTAGGCTTAACCAAAACTTCAGTTAGGTTACAGCTATTTGTGGATGTCTCACAAGGATGCATTAGGGGTTACAATGCTTAAGTCACACTGATTGAAGCCCTTCAAGGTATCCCTTCATGTTGTCCCCACTGACTTTCCTGGTCAGTGTTAGCCGATGAAGGAAGTCATTCTCAGTATTCAGGCTCTTTAGCTTCATAAAGAAACAAACATATTGGTCTCACTCATTGTATTCCTTACCCTTCTAACAGCTACTATCTCTTTCCTCCCAGTTTCATTTCCAATACTTTATTCCTTGATGAGATTTCCAATCTTAACATAATTGTTTGTTTACGGTATGAATTTGTAGAAGATTTTAAGGAATTTACAAAGCCACATACCCGTTAGGTGCATCATTTTAATAGAAAGTAAATGCTGGGCCAGGGATTTAGCTCAGTGGCATTGTGCCTGCCTGGCAAGTGCAAGGTCTTGAGTTCAGTTCCTGGTACTGAAAAAACAAAGAGTAAGCAAATGTATTATGCTTATACATAGAAAATATTGCTACATGTAAAATAAAGAATCTAAACTTTCTGAAGAAGTCTATATAACTGGGTGTTTGTTTACCTTAATTTTTCAAAATGGGTTAAAACTGTTAGTCAAAATTATTATATACGTTAAATAAATATATAATATAATATAATATATATTATTTATGATATATTATGGTAAAATTATGACATTATGATATATAGTATATAATTATGATATGACAAGTTAAAGTAAGTGGATAAAGAAATTATGTCAGGAGAATAACAATAATAGGAGAGATGAAATGGAACCATAGTGAAGATCAAACCTTAGTTGTGTCTTGAAAGGTGCTATGTTAGTTGCAGATAGACCCAGATTTGATCCAGCAGTCATAGGAGACAGGAAAACAAGATCAATTTCATGAGTCACAGAGTTTATAAGACAAATCTATTAATTATCAAGGAACTCCTAACCATCCCCAGTATCAAAACCTAAAAGAAGACTTTTCTGTGGATCCTGGTAAAGAGAATACTGAATAAACAGTATCCTCAAAAACATCCTGCAGTAATTAAGTAAGGTTCTTAAAGTTGTTTCTGGTAAAGTTCATCACTGGAACTGATGACTTCAGGTCAAAATTCATTGAATTCCCCATCCTTTAAGATTCTAAAGAACCAGCTCAAATCTCATCCCACATGGGTGGGAACTCTCTGAATCCATCCATTTCTTCCAGCAGATACATATCCCCATATCCCCTGTAATTCTAGAGAAGGAATGAGTGGTCTGTGCTTTTCCCAGCAACCCTCCAGTCTGAACTCCTGCTGGCTGCCTCACAAGCACAAGGTCCCGAGTTTGATCCCAACTACCAAAATCATCATCATCATCATACTGGAACAAGAAGCATGAACTAAGATTGTTCTAAGAAAACTGGCACATGGTCAGCAACTGTATACAAATACATAGTTCCTTGCCTGGGAAATAGACTTTCAGATCATTTTATGCTAACTGCTCCTAAGTTCCAGTTCTTTAACTTTTAATGGTGTTGGCTTCTAAGACAGATTAACCAGAGTCTTCTATTTGCCAATAAAACATCAAATATGAATTAGAACACTAAAAGCTTCCTGGAATGCTGAATTTTACACTATTCACTGAGTAGGTATAAAATTACACTTCAGGAATAGGAGTTATCCTGAAACATCTGAATAGAAAGTACAAAACTTTAGAGTCCCTGGATCTCTTTAATGGAGACCTTATTCTTAAAAGTTGGTTCCTCCCATCCCTGAAATGTAGGCAAATAGAAAGATAACCTTCCCTAATCTCAACATAAAGAGAAAGTCATCAGTATGGAGTGGCTTGGGGCCACTAATAATGACTGCTAATACTGCTTCTCTCTTCCCTTTTAAACAAAAGCTGGGACATCAGACAATCAACAATTTGATATAATTACAGTGTCAGTCCACACACTCTTACACTCTAAACATCTTAGACACACTGGTATCTCTTGCACATCCTAGTTCGTACCACTTGGTCCACATTTAAATCTTTTTCTTCTTTTCTTTGAATCTGCAATATCTTCCCACCTATTTCATCTTATAAAAGGCCTGTCAAGCAATGAAACTAGAGTAGAAGTTATTGCAGAAAGGAGCATACTACCAAGAACTGCTGTACAGTTATGCCTCAAGGATTTTCACAAGGAGTTTACTGCAATTTGCCTCCCTGCTACCATGGAATTAGTCCTTGATGTTAGTAAGTGTCCTTTCCTGTTCCCTCCAGACCTTGGAAGCTTATATTTTCCATGGGTTAGTTACAAAAAAAAAAAAAATGACAATAGAAACCACCTGTTGCTTAAATTGAGAGGCTGATTCCTTATCCAGTCTTTGGGACACTCTGGTCTACTTGATCACCACCCAAATGTCCTCTGCTTATTTAATTTATGATACAAACTCTATATTTGTTGTTACGAACCAGAAAGGTAGTTACATCAACTGTGGGCTGGACCTTAGGCACTGTCAAAACTCTGAGACTGCTCACTGCTTTTGAAACATTAATTTGTCATTTCAAACTACATAAATATTACCCGGGCGTTGTGGCGCACACCTATAATCCCAGCACTCAGGAGGCTGAAGCAGGAGGATCACTGTGAGTTCGAGCCCAGCCTGGGCTACATAGTGAGTTCCAGGTCAGTCTCAACTACATAGTGAGACCCTGTCTCAAAAAAAAAAACCCTACATAAATATTATACCATTAAAATTACTAAGGAGTTGGTGGTTTAGGAGACAACACAACATTCATATTTTCTCCCTTTTTCTCACTCATCTCCACTGTAACAAAGGGTGAAATCAATCAAGCACAGGTACTTGTGTCATCCTGCATATTGAAGCCTGCAAATGCAAACCTTTGATGTGAATGCGGGTACCAGTGTAGGCTGAGCATTTGAAAAGGGCTCAAGGGATTCTTGTAACAATTAATTTCAGACTAGACGACAACATTCACTCATCTCCCCAGCATTTATGCAGTAACCTTTATTTGCCAGACCATTTTGCTAATTATTGAGAATGCAAAAATAGAGATGGGGATCCCCATAACTATTTTGAAGGACTGAAGTTTAATCAAAATAATTAAAGAAGTGACAGTTACCATTACAGTGGTATTAATAGGATGCTTGAGAAAGTGAAGGACAATATTAAATTCAACCCAGAAGATTAGGAAAAATTTTTTTAAATATTCACAATGAAACTGAGGATTGAAGAAAGGTTGAAAAATAGAGAAAAGAGCTGGGCGTGGTGGTGCACGCCTGTAATCCCAACTCTCGGGAGGCTGAAGCAGGAGGATCACTGTGAGTTCGAGCCCAGCCTGGGCTACATAGTGAGTTCCAGGTCAGTCTCAACTACACAGTGGGACCCTGTCTCAAAAAAAAAAAAAAAAAAGAGAGAGAGAAAAGCCAGAGTTATGTGAAATTAACATCATGCATTTGGGAAAGAGCACTATGGTTCTGTGTGACAGTGTGGCAACAGACAGACAGACAGATGACACTGAGTCTGGTGTGCCAAGCTAAGGGGTCGCAGTTTGGTGCTAAACCACTGTCAGGCAGTGGACTGCACCAAGTGGATGAGCCCATTCTCATCACCCCAGCATCCTGGCAGCAAGCAGTATGGGCAAACCAAGACTGGGTAGAATAAAGGGTTGAAGAAAGTCCAGCTGAAGCATGAAGAGATTCCCTAAATAAGTCAGTAAGTGCTTTGGAGGTGAACAAAGACAAGGAGAAAGATCTGAAAAAATTATGCCATTTTGAGATGAGGCTAAGATTCTGTAAGGTGTATTTTCTCTTTGCACACTTTGAATCTGCCATATCTCCCTGCCTATTTAACCTCTTAAAAAGCCCTCCAATGAAACCGGAGTAAAAGTGTTTTACAAAGTTTAATCCAAGAAATTATTTGGTGCTTGTTTAAAACACATACAAGCCAGGTGCGGTGGCGCACGCCTGTAATCCCAGCACTCCAGAGGCTGAGGCAGGAGGATCACTGTGAGTTTGAGACCAGCCTGGGCTACATAGTGAGTTCCATGTCAGTCTCAACTACATAGTGAGACCCTGTCTCAAAAAACCAATCAATCAATAAATAAATAAATAAATAAAATAAGCATACAAAGCCAGGAGTCCAGTCTTAATCTACTGATGTAGAATCTTGGAAGAGAGTAGACTGGTAATTTTCATTTTTAACAAGCAGGGTGATGTTTATGCCCATTAGAGTTTGAAAACACTAGATAATTTCTAAAGTCCCCTCCGAGCCTAACTTTTTCTTAAACCACCAAACAGCTTTGTAGAGAATAAATTCTTCAGGAATCTTGGAATATTGCTTGTGCTCACATGCCAAGTATGTGCCAAACACATTACAGACATTACCCCATGTATTCATACCGATGTCGTTTGGCTAAAGACATCAGGAACATGTCTAATACAACGAATTCGTTTTATGACTTGTCCTACACAACACAGGAGAACAAGGATATAGCTGGAATTGATTTAAATAAAAATTTTAATGAGTAGCAGTCAATAATTCTGGCTGAGGGGGCCAGGGATTTAGCTCAGTGGTTCTACCACCTGCCTTGCAAGCAAAAGGTCCTGAGCTCGATCCCTGGTACATCAACTTTGTTTTTGTCTATGCATAGACAAAAATGGTGAAATGGGCTTATTTTACCACGTATCATAGTCTCAAAAGAATCTTGTGATAATCTTCTATGTCTAATAGGGGAATAAAATAACCCAGTCAGAAGCACCAGACCAGCTTCCAAGCCCCCCAACCTCTCTCTCCAAACATCCCACTTTCTCCCACAAGCTATTTGTGCTCTGAGAAATTGTGCCACACCCACGCAGCAACTCAGGGGCCTGAGTTCAGACCCGCTGAGTCCAAAGCTTACACTCTTGCCCGGGAAACTTTAGGGCCATCTCAGAACCCTTTGGAAAAGAGAACACAGTCCACAAAACAATGCACTTCACCATATTGGGCCCCAGGGCCACGGAAATCTTTCCCTCGATTCTTACCAGAAGTGGGCTTTAGGGTCTGACTTCAAGTTACTACATATGGTGAGTCCGCCAAAGAGAAAGTTAAGATCTAGGTCAAAAGCATTGGCCCAGCACAGTCAAAAGTAGCCAAGATCAGAATCTCGATTTGTGTGCTACCCTAGACTGGAAAATCTTATGAAAGAAAAAAAAATTAAGATACACTGGGGTTTCTCAACCAGGGAAATTATTAATCAGTGCTTGAGCATTCTATCTCAGAATTCTAGCCTCCTGGAATCCTGGGGGCATTTCTATAAAGGCAGAGTCTTTTGCCAGAAGATTCAGGAGGTATAATGGTATTGTGGCGTGGAGATGAATTTTAGGTCAAAAGTTCAGACTGATGTGCTGATAAATTTAGAAAACACCAAATAAAATATCCAAATAAAAGCAACAGAAAGCAGCAAATATAGGACAGCATTAGACTATTCCAGAGAATGAAGGCAAATCTACAATCACTGCCACTGAATGCAGCACATAAAAGGGATCCACAGAATCCCCTTACTCACCCCCACCGGCCCCTTTTGTGTTGTTGTTGCCAATGCAGCAGCGACGGGGCCATATAGACCCAAGGCCCCACCACACTCACCACACTGAACTTGCACCGTCCGTGTCCACTGGCCATGGGAAAGGTGGGCAGGGCACAAACTAAGAAAAAGGAAAAGGGGGAAGGAAAGCCTTTATACGTACCGGTTCAGAGCAAAGAATTTCATTCAAAATTATTCTTCCTTTGCAGATCACCTTCTATGAGGACCGGGGCTTCAAGGGCCACCGCTACGAGTGCAGGGGCGACCATGCCAACCTGCAGCCCTACTTCAGCCACTGCAATTCGGTGCGCGTGTACAGCGGCTGCTGGATGCTGTAGGAGCAGCCCGACTACCAGGGCCTCCAGGACCTCCTGTGGCACGGGGACCACCCCGACTACCAGGGCCGGATGGGCCTCAGCGACTCTGTCGGCTCCTGCCGCCTCCTCCCACAAGTGAGTTCGCTTGCTTCACCGTTGCGATCCAGGGGGCTCCAGTGAGCTAGTTTCCTTCTCGAAAAGTACCTAAGCATTAAAATCCTTTAATGGGGAGGGGAAGAGGGGGTGAAGGGAGGGCAGGCACAAGGGGAAAAAATGAGAATCAAGACTTGTCATGTAGAGGTACAAGATCCCAACAATGAATGTAACTGTACTGTGTCCCTAAAATGTACCAATAAACTCAATTAAAACTGAAAAAAAAATCCTTTAGATATCCTCCTAAGCCTGGATAGATGGGGGGCGTGAAAAACAGCAGGGAATATAAGGAAGAATCCACTTAGGAGAGGTGTATTTTTATTTTTTAATTTTTGCTACGATTAGGTCAATCAGAAGTTGTCTGTAGCACATGCAATAGTGTAATGAAATATACAATAGAACTTGCAAATGGGAAGCTGGTTGACAGTATTTGTAACAAAATAATTTTTACCTACAGTAAAGGAATTTCTAATAAATGAATTAAGTAGGTCCCACTGTGGACTAGGAAATATTAAAGACTCTCTTGTTAATACAGGCTAGTCAAAACTAGTGTCCAACTTTGGAAAAGATCATTTATTCTAATTTAGAAAATCAGCTAAATTCTGTTTCCTGGCTACCAATTTTCCACTGAAGTATATGATTTTTAAAATCTGAATTTAATGGTAAACTTGTATGTATATAAAATAAATAATACTCTTATTAAGAGAATGCCAAATTATTTATATCCCCCCCAAAAAAATACAGGTTTAATACAGGGAATTAGGAACCAAGATATTTGAGCTCTTCATGGATTCTAATTCCAAATTTGAACCTCTAAAATTCTACCTCCCCAACAAGAAATGTACAGTAACCATGCCGTTACTGTAAGTGTTAAACACTAGCAGCAGACCAACCCGTGCATGGCACTCAGCAACCTCACAGCCTCAGATTTTATAGTAACAATCTCATACTCCAATCTGCCAAGTTCACTGCTATTTGGTTAGACAAATTCTGGAGAAGGTTCATTTGCTTTCTCCAATGCTTCTTTTGGGGACCAAGCAGACAGGCTCCCACAGGATTCGGCTGTACGAGAGCGAAGACCACAAGGGCTTCATGATAGAGCTGAGTGAGGACTGCTCCTGCATCCAGGACCGCTTCCACCTCAGTGAGGTCAGCTCCCTGCACATGCTGGAGGGCTGCTGGGTCCTCTACGAGATGCCCAACTACTGCAGGTGGCAATACCTGCTGCGACCCCAGGAGTACAAGCGGTACCACGACTGGGGCACTGTGGATGCTAAGGCAGGCTCTTTGCGGAGGGTGGTGGATTTATACTAAAATAGGTTAACACTACCATGTTCTCGTTTTGGAACCTAATAAAGTATTTAGTCTGTATGGTTGGCAATTGTGGACTTCTGCTTTCACTTCATTTTGTGCAAATCAATCTACTTGTAAACGCTCGCCTTCAAAGGTTAAGAGGTGGATGGACAAAGGGAGGGGTCTGTTCAAGAAGAATTACAAGGTAGAATTGAGTTTAAACAAGGCATAATGGGGTGGGAAGGTGTCTACCTGAGAAAGAAAAGGAAGGTCAAAGCTATTGGCATGAGAGGCAGTGGTTTCTGGGAAGGAAGTCATTCAGCTATGGGCCTTGAGGAACAATATTCTACAAGTTTATCTCTGACCCAAGAAGTTGTTGAAGGTCACAAAAGGCACAGTGAAATAATGGTGAGATCGAGCTCAACTTGCCAAATCCAGGGTTAGGTGAAGCCTAACTTCACCCTTAGCCAGTACTGGCCCTGCCCAACTACGAAGAAATTACCTAGCTAATGCAAACACATGAATAAGAGGAAATTAATTTCCTCCAAGTCAAAGGCTCTGTTAACCCTTGCTCACCAGAGAACAAACCCTATCAGAACGTGTTTCTTAGAAATTTTATTTATTTTATAATACCTAAGAGGTGATCTATTTTTGTGTTTGAAATGCATGGGCGTTTTTATGACCTTTCAATTTAGACCTTTCCTTTCACTGCTAAGATTAAGTATCTTAAAACTGTTCTCCCCTTTGAATCACCAAAGTTGGCTAAGCGGAAAGATCTAATTCTCATTCTACTTCCACACATGACTGCGACAAATTTGAAGATTCTCATTGGCTGTGTTTTTAGTTTTGTTTTTGTCTTTAACCTTACTGAAGGTTTAATATTGTGGAAACTCCCTTGGGAAAACATTCCAGTGCTTTACATCTTTTAATCCTGAAGTTCTTCCAAAGAACTAGAAATTTTTGGAATTTATTTTTTTCTTCCCCCCCATTGAGTTTATTGGTACATTTTAGGTATACAGTAAAAATTTTCGGAATTTAATGAAGCCCACTTCCTTCTTGTTAGCCGTCCATGTTCAAGATTGAGATGTTGGAGATGTTCAAGATGAGGGCACACAGGTAGTTATTAAAGTTTCACTTGGGATTTTTGTGGGGTTTTTTTTAGACAAAGTCTCACTATGTAGTTGAGACTAACCTGGAACTTACTGTGTAGCCCAGGCTGGTCTCGCACTCACAGCGATCCTCCTGCCTCAGCCTCCCGAGTGCCGGGACTACAGACGTGCGCCACCACGCCCAGCCAGATTCACTTGTTTTTATCATATTAAAACTTTGCTTTTCTTGCTCCTTCATTTACACACTATTTTCCCAGCCTATACAAATAAAAATGTGTGTATATATTTATATACATATACACACACATATATATATACGAAGAAGCTGCTCTTTTATTACGAAATAGATAATGTTTCAAAACAATTTTTTCAAAACAACTCAAACTCAATAGCATTGATATTGTGATAGCAACCAGAATATTCCAGAGAGAATGGAACTAAAATCTAAAATGAGCCCCAGGAACTAAGACATCAAAGAGGAAAGAAAACACGAAAGCACCCTGCCGGGACCCTTTGTGCAGTTCAGGCCAGAGCGGCGGCCTCCTGCTATACGGACGGGGCCTCCCGCCAGCCGCCGGCGCAGCGTGCGCACCCAGCCAGGGCCAAGGTGAGC